TCGTAAAATTCAATATTATGAACTCAATTTTTTACTGAAGACTATCCAAAGTCAGATACATATTCAGTAAAAATTTTACTAAGATTGAGTGCTCTGGAAAAAAAATAGATTTTTGACCCGGGGGGGGGCCCTTAAAAAGGTATAGAGGATATCAATATCAAAAGAATTTTAAATATCAAACATAATGAGCAGTTCGTATCAACAAATTATCAAACATAATGAGCAGTTCGTATCAACAAATTTGAAACAGCTACATATTATGACTACATACCAACTTAGAAAACCTATATGTAGCACAATCGTCAACTATCGTCATACAGTGACGAATTTCGATATTGGTGAATTTAAAAGACCGTAATGTGACTGTCAGCAGCACTACATTGTCACTGAGTGGTTTAAAAATCATTAAAAATAAATCACTTCGATTTTCATTAATATGCAATGTGCTCGGGAAGAAGATCTCAATGTGAGCCAGGTTGATAGTGGTCTTGCAAAAAGAAGTAAATCGTTTTGATGCATTAAGAAGTTATTTTGTTGAAATAGAGAATGAACCGTATCGGATAATAACAGGAGAATTTGTAACTGCCAAATTCGATTTTATCGAGATTTTAAATGTGCAGAAGGCGAATGAAGAAACAGTTAAAATAACTGCAAAACCAATCAAGTTAACTCAATTTCCCTATTTCAATACTGTCTCATTAAAATATTCTAATTGAAACTATTTTATGATTGTAAATTTGCTCATATTTTATCTGATGAGTATCCTGTTGGTTTATTTTTCGGTTATTTGTCCCGATTTTATAATATCAATAATAAACATCTTGAAGTAACCGACAAGAGTATATATATTGTCGATGTTTCTTTTATGAACATACTGTAACAATAAAAGGAACTTAAAATATTTTCTAGCTATGACAAAGCATCCAAATATAGTGGATTTTGCAGTGGAGCAAAAGCTCTACAAAACAAAGTGATGTCTTCGTTGAAGAGCCGCGCCGTTCTCTCAATCAAACAGTCATTGAAGCTGGTTAGAATATCAAAAATACAGCGTAATATGGAAGTGATAGACTTAATAATTATATCATTCGATGTTCTTTCGCAGTTATGTATATATAAAGAAGTACACTGTTTACATTCAATTTTTGATCTTTTGTTGACAACGTCGAAAGCTTAATTAATTTTCCTGTTTCGTCGAAAATAAAGCTTTAGCTGTTCCTGTTTCGTCGAAAAATAAAACTTGAAGTAGAATATAGATTATTCTAATTAATAAACTGTATTGAAAAGACTGGCGTATAGATTATTCTAATTAATGAGGGTTTTTTAAACAGACTAATTAAAAAGAATGCTAAATTATTCAAAATGTAGTATATATACATGCAGCTAGGAACGAAAATTAATCACTATCTATTCTATTTGTATTCAACTTTAACACAATGATTTCTCTGCTATATCTTTCACTGTATTTCATGTTATCTATTGTTGAAAGTAAACGAAAAATTTTTTTTATTAGTTGACACTTTTCGTTACATCCAAGACAAAATTGTGAATACTACCGTTTATTGGAAATGTGAAGACCGTTCATATCCTGGGCGTGCTATACAATATGGGTTGGATCAACCAAGTATGAAGAACCCGCACAATCACAGTGGTGACGAAAATAAATGTAAAGTTGAAGAATTTAAAATGAATTTAAAACGACGTATTGATGAATCACCACAACCGATAAACAGAATTTATAGAGAAGAAATAATATCCTTAAAATAATAACCGCACCACAGCTGACATCGTTTACACTAATGTTTCATGAAATGAAAAATTCATTATATAAAACAAGAAATGATAGTTATCTCACACACAATTAATGATGTTAAAATAGAAGGAATATAGAGAAAAACTTTAAGTGGTGAGTCATTTGTACTCTTAGATTCAATACATCCTGTATTCGGTACAACAGAATCTCTTCAACAATTATCAACATGTGATAATACTCATCTGTTTATGGATGCAACATTTAAATCTTGTCCACGTCCATTTTATCAACTATATACAATTCATTCAATCAACGACGCTCTATCAACACCAAAATTATATACATTATTACCAGATAAAAAAGGATCAACATATATATCTCTATTGAATGGTATACAAAATTTATTTCATATGAACAATATTTGCATTAATCCCACGTATATTACAATTGACTTCGAACAAGTAGCTATTAATGCCATCACATTAGTTTTTCCAAATGCCGCAATCAAAGGATATAATTTCCACTTTAATAAATGTATATACACAAAATTACAAGAATGGGGTTTCAACCATCATTTATTAATGCCAAATCAAGTGATCCAGATGAAATTAATATAAGAACTCTTTATAAGAAAACATGTTCACTTGCATTCATGCCACCGCAAGAAGTTGGAAAAATATGGACATTGATTATGGATCAATTTCAAGATATTGAGCATATTGAGATATTTTACGATTATGTCACAAGTACGTGGGTGGATGCTGATGCGTTGTTCGATTTATCATTGTCGAATTATTTTGATTTTAAAAGTTCAAAAGCAAATAATAGCTTAGAAGGTTGGGAGCATCGTTTAAATACTGATTTAAATCATATCATACATCCACATTTTTATATGTTTATTCGTACAATTCAAAACGATTATGCTTATAATTCAGCAATATTATCACGTCATACAGCCACCAGCGCAATACCACCAAGAAGAAAAAAACTATTTGTGAATCGAAATGCACGATTACACGATTTAAATCTTGTTAAAATGTTATTTCGTCAAGCGACCTTGCACGAATGAAAGAGAAGAAAACTATGGACCTTTTCTCTTAGTTTTTTTCTTTTCTCCTACGTTGCCGCGATATCATATCGGCAATATACAGAACAGGAAAAAGAAAGAATGTACTGTGTGCTGTCTTCATCTTACTCCCAGGGCATTGAAGCTTTTCGCTTTTCTATCATTCGTGCAATGCTCTATCGAACGGTATATAAAGTAGAGTGGTTAACGACAAAATAAATGGATATTATAAACATGAACAATGTTGACCTACCGCTTTGCTCAGATGCGCCTGGGTATTTGGGATCTGAGACTATCCAGTTACATTTTCTTCCGACTGTCTTATATATCATTTTGGTTAATATAAGACTGATCTGTGAGGGAACCATTTTGGTCCTTATCGACCCCCCTTTTTTGCATGAAAAGTTGCACGTTTAGATATTTACAAATTAATATTGAATGACTGAATAGGCTGGACTAAATGCTATGACGACAAAGCTCGTGACGACAAACGTCCTACCGTGAATATAGCATCAAATTTTGATGTGCTAGTCTCTTTTTTTTCATGAAAATATGACACACTTTTAAAGTGACTGACCAAATAAACTTTCTTACTCAGAAGTCACTTGAACATTTTCCTTTCGATGTTTTTCACGAGCATAAAAATATATAGCTGAAGGGAATTCGAAGTGATCTTAGAATGTTTTTAACTTATAACAAGTGTAAGAATTCTATTGTGATTGCTGAAAATCAGGCCATTGAAGTAAATAAAGCTTGTAAATATAATAGAACAGGTTTATCAAAGAGCCGTAAAGAGCGAATAGTTTCGAGCGTAAAGCGACGTCTCTAGGCTCTTACTAACATTTTTACATCCAGTTACATCAGTAGTCATATTCAGAAACGTAGTCTTCAGAAATCTTGATAGAGACAAAAATGGCTAGATACTACACACCAAGTATATCGTGTTTTTCTTTTCACTCGGGAGTTAAACTATTTTCGAATGTTGATGTTGCGCTGAACCAACTGCTTTGTGGAGATGCCATCAATTTTTGTCTTGCATTTAGCAGTTTTTCTGTATGTTTATCTAGTTCCGTTGTTGGTTCTAACCACTTTTTCCTGCGTAATAAAATCCGATTACCATTGCCATGTAACTGCGCTTGTTTCAAATAAAGACCAAACATGATCAACAGACAAAGACCAGATAGACACGAAAATAACAGAATAGCTAATAAACGACTCGAGCGATCATGCAGTCTCGGTATTGTATTTCGTGCCTTAACTCGTGCACTCCGCGGTAAAATCAGCGTAGTTGCAGACGACGAAGATGATGCCTTTGACAACCATAAAGTTGTCGCATCAACCGAAGATTTCTTTGAACTATTAATGGTGTACTAGTTGAAGAAAAGAGAATTAAGCACTTAACCCCCCCGGGGGGGGGGGGGGGGGGGGGGGGGGGGGGGGGGGGGGGGGGGGGGGGGGGGGGGGGGGGGGGGGGGGGGGGGGGGGG